TCACCCACTCTAATTAATCAGCCTGATGGAATGTGGGACAAAATCATTTCAATTTTCTTATACAGCATTTAATTCAGGCTACTCTTAGCAGCAATCCAAGAGTAAAATGAGGACAACCTGCCATATTAACCTCAAACACTCCTCCTAGGGTTCCAGATCAAACCAGAGGAAAAATAATCACAAACTCTCTTTGGCCCTCAAGTTAGAAGTATAGGTCAATTCTATTACCCAAAAAGAAAACTTTGCCAGTGAGTTGAGGCTGACCCGAATGTCTTCCATGGCCGAGTTGGTGTTTCTGCAAACACTTAAAGGTGTGTTAGGATCACCTGTAATGTGTAAGCCATTATATTTTGGGGAGGAATAAAATTTAATGCCTGATTTCCACAAAAGACGTAGAATTCAGAGGGTACACATAGTGACCCTGGAAAGAAAGTATTGGTTACAATTACTGCAAATGGGACATTTGCTGGAAAGTAGAGGTTGACAGTGCCTCCAACGTGGCCTCCTAGTCAGCTGATACGCCTTAAGGTTCCTAGTTCAGTTGAAATAGTTGAATCTAGTGTTTGTGTTAGAGGAACTGTCTAAGGGCAGGCAGTCAAATATGACCTATTTGTCCACACTAATATTTGTGCAACATCCAGTTGCCCTACAGAATGAGTGAGTGATGTCTAAGGAATAAGAATAGAGAAAACACCTGGAGTAGAATAACTTTTTGTGAAAGGTGCCAGAGCTAGGGTCATACCTTGCTATTTCTGATAGACTTCTGCATAATGTTAAGAGAAACGGCTACCAAATAATGTCAGAGCCATCTTGGTGAAATAGCAGACTCAAGAATTACACTTAAGGTACTTGCAACAATTTGGAAAATCCTAAACACGATGTTTGCCTCCTAATGAAGGCTCCAGGGATGGCTTTGAATGACAAAAGATCATTAATGTCCTTCCCTCCCTCATATTTCCTGGACATCTATGATATTCCATTCCTACGTGAATGGATTCCTATTTTCTCTCCACTATTGCGAAATCAATGTGTCTCATTAGAGTAGCTGTAACTCCACCTTTTTTTCAATCATCCCTGCTTTCACCCACAATTTTTTCCAAAAGAGTTAACTGCAAGGGTCAGGGTATTTTTATAAAACTTACAGAGACCCATTATGTACCCCACATTGGACCATGTGGACCACTGTAGGGAAACTTGGTGAGCAGAGTTCTAAACCAAGTCATTATCCTTATCATTTATGATCATGTCAATCCAACAAAAGAATCTAGGTTGCTAAATCAGAATTCAGTTTGAATCTTCTAAACTTGTTTTGGCTAAGCTACCACCCACGGGTGGTCTGGGGTCACTATTAAGGGAAATAAAGAAACATCATGACCAGGAAAGGTCAGGTGGAATTCTGAATTTTCAAAATTGGGTGATATAATATCCAATCCCTTTTCGTAATTATTAGTCAGGAAGTAGCTAAGAGAAGATGATCCCTTTCTGGGGACAGCACATTCAGTGACCAAACTGCCTTACTTAGGTATAACACAAGAGGAAGTAAGGAAGGTTGGGTCAGAAATCATCTTGAATTAACTTTTGAGGAGACCATGTTAACACTCAAAACTACAAGATGCTGAGGATGGTAAGGAGTGTAGAATTTCCATGAAGAACTTTTGAGTTGCTTTTGTGAGGCTGAAACTTTTGTCAGACTGAAAATCGATCATGAATTTGATAATATGACATAGATTAGTTTCAGTGTTCAAAACGCTGTGCCCAGAGTTAGTTGCTCTGACTGGAATAAAAACTGTGTAACCTGAAAAATACATGATATTTCCAATGAGAATCTATAAAGAATAGAATGACAACATTTGCAGGGAATTTCAAGGTTGACAATGTGGCCACAGGTATAGGTGGCAAAAATGGTATGTGAGCAGTGATCATTGAAGATGAAGATATAAAGTAACTGAAAGGCGATAGGGTTCAATAGGACATCCATACAAACTTTCTATATATCCGTGATAATAGACTGGATATGGTCTAAGCGCCAAATCATCAAGGAATTTAAGAAAGTCACTGGGTTCTCTGAGTTGACAGTAATGAGAAAGAAAGTTTACTCAGACAGATTGAGTTTAATACGAATTAAAAGCAAAATAAGCAGGATATTTGCACAAGTTTAAAGGAAAAGTAAATGCTTAAAGGCAGCATTGGAAAGGGAAATATGTAGATGAGGGAAAATCAAAGTATAGATTGAGTATGATATGTCAATGGAACTATAAGGTATTAGAGCTGGAAAGGAATTTTGATATCATCTCCTGCAATGCCTAGTGAACACATGATTAAATTATATGTATATATTTTTTGCCTGCATGTGTTTGATGGGCAAAATGTTACTGGCTGACAATGACATCACGTTGCTTGTTCTTGCTGATAAAAATGTACAGGGCATCTTCTAAATGATGAAACATATGTTAGAACAGCTGCTTCCAAGTTTATACAAAATATGGTATAGCATTCTTTGCCTTTGAATACAGACAAATATGAAAAATTATGGTGACTAAGATGGAATATGCCTATTTTCTTTGAAAAGCAAAAAGTCCTAATATGAAGTTAGAGTTGAATAGTAAAAGGAACTTAAATTTAACTCATTCAAGAACATTCACCTCCAAAAATATAACATGCTCAAATATTATTTCAAATTCCCTTTAAAGTGCTTAATTCAAGAGAAGGGCATATATGCCCATGTGTAACTTTTATAGTGCTTAGTTTTTACTTTTTTCACTTTAAATAAATGTCAATTTAAAAATAGAATCTTTATTATCATTTATTTATTGAAAGTGACTACCAGGAAAAAATAAACAATAATTTGTTATATAATATATAATTATATAAATTATAATATATAATATTTCATATATTATATATTTACTTAAGATCTTGCTTGGATCAAAGCTTAAAGGCTCAGGCTTTAAAAGTGACTTCTCATTAAGTCTATGGTATATATTATAGGACAAATTAACAGGTAAAGAAATAATCAAATGCCATATCAAATTAGGTACATATTGCCTGTTTTTCTCATGGTAAAAAATACAGGAACACTATATGAATTGCAAAAGAAGGAATTTTCTGACTGAGGAACATGAGACAACAAGGTAATATTATTTCAACTTAAGTCCATATACTAATTTTAAGAGATAAATTCATATGATTTTTTTCAGTGTTCATATGTATACTTTAATTCACATTTTTGAAGAACATGGGCAGTGGTTCCATAATTTTGTGTAGATGTTTAAGGAAATATAATGATTTTGGGTCATCATCATCAAAATTACTGCTTTGAAAATAATTCTATGGTAGGATCGATAGTATTTAGCTTCCAGAAAAAACACCAGTAGATCCAAGAAATGATTATAGGCGGTAGTGGACTACTAGTTGAACATACTTAAAAAAAATTAAAACTATGAAAATTAAAATATATACTATAGGAAGAAAAGATATACAAAGATATACAAGAAAGTAAATAGGAAAGAGAACAAAAGGAGAGAAAGAGGAAGAAGAAAAACTAAACGAGTATTAGGTTGGTAATTTACTCATTAAGAAGCTAGAAAGTACTTTGTGAGAACATAAAAATTATGACACATGATAATCTTGCAAGCAGAGAGGATTGGGAGATTATCATCACTTATTGAAGTCCATTCCTTTCTCCCACATGAATTACAGTGGCATCTTTGTCATAAATTTAGTAACCTTTCTATATTTTGGATATTAACCCTTTATCAGATATATGGTTTGAAATATTTTCTTGTATTCCCATGGGCTGCTGTTCATTCTGTTGATTGTTACCGTTAGTGTGCAGAAATATTTTTTAGTTTGATGTAGTCCCATTTGTCTGTTTTTGCTTTTGTTGCCTATACTTTTAGTGTTGTATACATATACCTGATAAGGAGTTAATATCCAAAATATATAAGGAACACCTAAAACTCAATACCAAAAAGCAAATAACTAGATTGCAAAATGGGCAAAGGACATTAATAGATATTTCTCCAAATAAGACATACAAATGTCCAAGAGCTGTATGAAAATGTGCTCCACATCACTAATTATCAAGGAAATGCAAATCAAAACCACAATTTTATGTCACACCTGTTAGCATGGCTATATTCAAAAAAAAGGGGGGAGCCAAGGCAGTGGCATAGTGGTTATGTTTGTGTGCTCTGCTTTGGCTGCCTGGGTTTGTGGCTTCGGATCCTGGGCACAGACCTCCACCACTCATCAAGTCATGCTGTGGTGGCATCCCACACACAAATACAGGAAGATCGGCACAGATATTAGCTCAGGGCAAATCTTCCTCAAGCAAAAAGAGGAAGATTGGCAACAGGTGTTAGCTCAGGGCCAATCTTCCTCAGCAAAAAAAAGGTTAAGTGTCAGTGAGAATGTGCAGAAATTGGAACTCTTGTACACTGTTAGTGGGAATGTAAAATTGTACAGCCATTATGGAAAACAATATGGAAGTTCCTCAAAAAATTAAAAATAGAACTACCATATGGTCCAGCATTTCCACATCTGGGTATATATCCATAATAATTGAAATCAGATTCTTAAAGTGATAGATGCACTCTTAACATTCATTGCAGCATTATTCACAATAGTCAAAATATAGAAACAACTTAAATGTCCATTGCCAGATGAATGGATAAAGAAAATGTGCTATATACATACAATAGAATATTATTCAGCCTTAACAAAGAAGGAAATTATACCACTTGCAACAACATGGATTGACCTGGAAGACATTATGCTAAGTAAAATAAGTCAGTCACAAAATGACAAATGCTACATAATTCCTCTTACATGAGGCATCTAAAATTGTGAAACTTATAGAAGCAGACCATAGAATGGGGATTGCCGGGCACAAGAGGGAAGGAGAAATGGAGAGTTGTTGTTCAATGGGTGTAAAGTTTCAGTTATGCAAGATGTATAAGTTCTAGAGATCTCTGTACTTATCTAGTACATATAGTTAGTGCATATAGTTAACAATTCAGTAGTGTACAACCAAAAATTTAAGAGAGAACATCTCATGCTAAGTTTTCTTACTACACACGCACAAAGAGCAGAAGGGAATTTTTGGAGGTGATTGATATGTTTATTACCTTGATTACGATGATGGTTTCACAAGTGTATGCATACCTGCAAACTCATCAAATTGCATACATTAAATATGTTTAATTTCTTGTATGCAAATTATACCTCAAAAAAGTTGTTAAAAAATTAAGTAATCTGATATATATGAATTTATTTCTGTATCTCTTTTCTGTTCATCAACCTATTTGTCTATCCTTGTGCTAATAGCACATTATTAATTACTGTTATATAGAATAGATGTTAAAATTTAGTAGTAAAATCCTCCAACTTTATTCTTCTTAAGATAATCTTGGCCATGCTTTGTCTTTGCATTTCCGTATACAATTATGGTTCAGCTTATTCCTTTACAGACACACACAAAACAAAAACATGCATACACACAACATCTGGGAGTTTAATAGGGATTGCTTGGAACCTAGAGATCAAGTTGGGAGATTTTATATAAAAATATTGAGTTTCCTGGTCCACGAAAAATCTCAGCAATACTTTGTAGTTTTCAACGTCTTGTGAATATTTCATTAGAAAATTCCTAGGCTTTTATTATTTTAGATCTGATAACATTGAAAAAGCTGCTTATCGATTCTAGTTGTTTGTACATTCTTTCGGATTTTCTCCTTATGCAACCATGTCATTTTTAAATAAAGGCAGTTTTACTTCTTTCTTTCCTATATTCATATCTATTGTATTTGCTTAAAAGATATAGAATTATTTATTTTTTAAATTTCTACTTATGTCATAATTTAATTGAGGTTATATCAAGTAATTGGTTCAAATCGTCTGAATTTTCAAATATATTATCTCAAAATTGTTTATAATATCCATTTAATACTCTTTTAATATTTGTAATGAAGTTCAATTTTTGCTGGGAAAGATTTTCCCTGAGCTAACATCTGTTGCCAATCTTCCTCTTTTTTTTCCCTCCCCAAAGCCCCAGTATGTAGTTGTATAGTCTAGTTGTAAATCCTTGTAGTTCTTCTGTGTGAGTTACTGCCACAGCGTGGCTACTGACAGACAAGTGGAGCCGTTCCACATCCAGGAACGGAACTCAGGCCGCCGAAGTAGAGCACACTGAACTTTAAGCACTAGGCCATCAGGGCTGGCCCTGACGTCCAATTTTTTAATTGTTAATATTGGTAATGTTTCCTTCTTTATTTTTCTTCATAAGTTTTGCTAATATTTCATCAATTTTATAAACTTGTAAAACTTTTATCCCTTTCAAGAACCTGCTTTTGACTTTGATTTCCCCTACTATAGTTTTGTTTTTTTTCTCTTTCATAAATTTCTTTTTGTGTGTTATTCCTTTTCTTTAAAGTTGTTCACTTCAGAGATTAAACCAACCTTAAATTCCTAGGATGATTCATCATCTTTTGTAGATATTGTTGGATTTGATTTGCTAAAATTTTATCAAGGATTTTTGCATCCATGTACATGAGAGATGCTGCTCTGTATTTCTCTTTCTGACGACCTCCTAGTCTGGTTTTGGCATTAGTGTAACACTGTCCTCACAACGTGATATGGGAAATATTTGCTGCATCTCTATTTGCTGGAAAAGGATATGTAGGTCTGGTATTATTTTTTCCTTAAATAATAGGATACATCAAGAAGCATCTGCTCTTGGTCGTTTAGTCTCTTTGTAGAATGTCTTAATTCTGAGTTAAATTTTTTAAATTGATGTTGCACTGTTCAATTTTTTGTTCTCCTGGTGCTAGTTTTGGTAATTTGAGCCTTTCAAGGAGTGTGACCATTTCCTCTGTACTAGTTTGCTAGGGCTGCTGTAACAAAGTACCCCACTCAGATGGCTTAGACAAAAGAAATTTATTGTACAGGTCTGGGGACTATAAGTCCAACATCAAAGTTTTGGCAGTGTTGGTTCATTCTGAGGGCTGTGAGGGAAGATCTGTTTCAAGCCTCTCTCCTGGGCTTGTAGATAACCATACTGAAACTTGTCTCTGTGTCATTACATCATCTTTCCTCTGTACATATCTCTTTCTCTTCTCATGCCAATCTTTTTATAAAGACACCAGTTATATTCGATTAAGGGCCCACCCCACTCCAATGTAACTTTATCTGAACTAATTACATCTACAATGATCCTATTTTCAAATAAGGTCACATGTTCAGGTACTAGGGGTTAAGACTTCAGCATACGAATTTTGGTGGGACACAATTCAACCCATAACGTCATTTCAACTGTTGAGTTTATTGGCATAAAATTATTCCTAATGTTACCTTATTAGTCTATAAATGTCTGCAGGACCTGTAGAGATGCCCCCTCTTTCAGTTCACATTTGTAATTTGTATCTCCTTTCTCTTTGTTTTTTCTCCCCGCCTTGCTCAGTTTAGCTAGATTTTGGAATTTGGATTTTGTTTATTCATAGCTCCTGTTAAAAAAAAATATTTCATAAATTTTGCCTTTTCAAAAACCTATATTTCTCAACTTCCACATGGGAAAAATATATATATTTAAAAGAAGGATAAAAAGAGAAATAATTATGCATGATTAAATTTCTCTATTACTCAAATATTTTTGTTGAAAGACTTGCACTCAGCAGGCACTCTTCTAATTGCTGATGATAGTTCCCCAAAGCAATGTAAAGGATCTCCGTACCAAACTTCTTTTTCCCTTTTAATCTAAAGAAATTAACTTTGCTCTAAGAAAAAAATCTCTGTCACAAATATAATTTCCATTTGTAATGACTAATGTGTGCTTAAATAGATCATTTTAGAAACACAGATCTTTAATGAAGATATTTTAAAAGTTCACTCACCACATAATAACCTAATTTTCAAGGGACCTTTTACTCAATCTCATACTGTACGAGTGCACATTGGGTGCTTGGAAATGGGCCTATTTAGGCGTGAGTTAGATTGTATCATTTTCTTCCTGTTCGTAGTCACACGTTATGATTATAAAATTTCACTTAGATTTACAGTTTCTTTTGGTATTCTAAGTGTAAATTCATTGAAATGAAAACTGACAAAAACTTCATCAGGACCTGTCAAAATTGTTGTACTTGATTTCAATCAACTAAATGTTTTCTATTTATGAATGATTTGGAGTGAATATCACACACCAAATTAGATTCAATTTAGAGTTCTGCTACTGAATTTAAGTAAAGATAGTTAAATTCAATATCTGAAAATACTATATTTAGCTAGTCATTAACCATAAGGTATTCTCCTTAGTTTTATACTTTTTGTATATTTCTTCATACTCTTTTATAAAAAGAGTAAGACATTAAAAATTTAATGAATTTAATGAAATTGTGTTAATATTGTCTGAGCATTTTCTCATGATTAGACTGGAGTCATAAGGTTTTGTGGGGGGATCACACAGGTATATTGCTACTTTCCTCATATCATAACAACAGTACATACTATCTACATGATTTAAGACAACTGATGTTGACCTAGATCATGTGACTGGAGTAGTTTTTGCCAAGTTTCTCCAAAGTGATGTTACACATTTTTTTCTCCCCTCTCCAAACTGTATTCTGTGGAAAGAAGTCACCATGCAGAACCCTATTCAAGGACTGGAGGATTATGCTTCCCTTCTTTTAGGATAGAGTATCTACAAAATTTATTGGGTGTCTTCTACATGGGAGATTTGTCTCCTCTCCTTTGTTTTAATTTATTGAATCATTTATTGATATTAGTATGCACTTACAGGTTTTATTTTAAACTTGGATTATAATTCTATATTTCCATAGACACAATCATGTCATCTTTGAACACAGATAGTTTTATTTCTTCCTTATCAACCTGTATTCCCTTATTTCCTTTTATTAAGTTATTTCACTAGCTAGGACTTCCAGTACAATGTTCAATAGGGTTGTGGGAGGAGAAATTCTTACCTGTTCTCAGTCATAGGAGGAGATCAACCAGTTTCTCAGGATTAAGTATGACGTCTGTAGGATTTTTCATAGATATCCTTAATTAAGTCGAGGACGTTTCCCTCTATTCCTAGTTTTCTGAGTATTTATCATGAATGGTAATTGGATTTTATTAAATGTTTTTTCTGCATCAGTTAAGATGATCACATGATTTTCCTTCTTTAGCCTGTTGATGTAAAGAGCTAATTGGTTTTCTTTTTCTTTTAAAACTACTTTATTGAGGTAGGATTAACATAGCAAAGTCTGTACATATTTGATAAATACAATTTAATGAGTTTGAAGATAAGTATACATCTGTGAAACTTCACCACAGTCTATGCCATAAACATATCCAACACCTCCAAAAGTTTCCTCTGCCTGCTTTATTCGTTATTTTTTTCTGTGAGTGGCAAGAACACTTAACATAAAATCTACCCTCTTTGCAAAGTTTTAAGTATGCAATGTAGTATTGTTAACCATAGGCACCATGCTGTACGGTAGATCTCTAGGACTTATTCATCTTGCATAACTGAAACTTTGTACCCTGTGATTAATATTTCTACATTTCCCCCTTTCCCCAGTTCTTGACAACCTCTATTCTACTCTCCGCTTTTGAGTTTGTCTATTTCAGATTTATCATATAAGTAGTATCATGTAGTGTTTATCCTTCTGCGTCTGGCTTATTTTACTTAGCAGAACATCCTTCAGATTAACCCATAATTAATCTAAAATTAATGAGTTAATGGCAGGATTAAATGGCAGGATTTTCTTCTTTTTTAAAACTTTCATTTCATTGTATGTGTACACCACATTTTCTTTATCCCTTCATCCATCGTTGGACACTTAGGTTACTTTCACATCTTGGCTGTTGTGAAAAATCCTACATGGCATTGTAAATATGGCATGGCAGTGTAAATATCTCTTTGAGATCCTGATTTCAATTCTTTTGGGTATATACCCAGATCATATGGTAGTTCTATTTTTAATTTTTTGAGGAATCTCCATGATGTTTTCCTTGGTGGCTGGCCCATTTTACTTTCCCGCCAACAGTGTACAGGGGTTCTCTTTTCTCCACAACATTTATTTTTTGGTTTTTTGATAGTAGCCATCCTAACAGGTATGATGTGACATCTCATTGTGGTTTTGATTTGCATTTCCTTGATGATTAGTGATATTGAGCACTTTTTTCTATACCTGTCGGACATTTCTATGTATTCTTTGGAGAAATGCCTATTCTATTTCTATTCAAGTCCTCTGCCCATTTTGTAAGCAAGTTAAGTAAATCTTTAAGCTTTTAGTCCATCTCAAGCTGATTTTTGTGTAAGGTGTAAGATAAGGGTATAGTTTCATTCTTTTGTATGTGGATATCCAATTTTTCCAGCACCATTTATTGAAAAGACTATACTTTCTCCATTGTGTATTCTTGGCACCTTTGTCAAAGATCAGCTGACCATACTATGTGTGGGTTTATTTCTGTGCTCTCTATTCTGTTCCATTGGTCTATGTGTTTGTTTTTATGCCAATACCATAATGTTTTGATTACTGTAGCTTTGTAATATATCTGAAATCAGGAAATGTATTGCCTCCAGCTTTGTTGTTTTTGCTCAAAATTGCTTTGGCTATTTGGCGTCTTTTGTGGTTCCATATGAATTTTAGGATTGTTTTTATATTTTTGTATAAAAAGCCACTGGGATATTGATAGGGATTGCATTGAATCTCTAGATCACTTTTGGTCGTATAGACATTTTAACAATATAAATTATTCCAATCCATGAACACGGACGTCTGTCCATTTATACGTACCTTTAATTTCCTTCATCAGTGCGTTATCATTTTTAGAATGCAAGTCTTTTACCTCCGTTGTTAAGTTTATCCCCAAATATCCTTTTAATGGGATCTGTAATGATGGCCCTCTTTCATTTCGGATATGTCATTTGTGTTTTTCTCTTTTTTCTTGGTCAACACGGCTAGTGTTAATCAGCATTATTGCTCTTTTCAAAGAAACAGCTTTTGGTTTTGTTGATTTTCTCTATTGTTTCACTGTTTTCAGCTATATGCTCTAATTTTTATAATTTAAAAACTTCCGTCTGCTTAAGTTTATATTACTCTTTTTTCTCTAGCTTTCTACGGTAGAAACTTAGATTATTGATTTAGTACTTTCTACATTTCTAAAGTGATTATTGATATTGTTGTATTAAAAATTACCATATTTGTAATGGTTTTATACTTGTTTCACTTTTTTGGTACATTCTCATATTTATTATATGTTTAAATTTTATATAATTCCATTTTCTCTTCTCTCTTAGCATATCAATTGTACTTCTAAAATTTTTTAGTGATTACCTTAAAGCTTACTATACTTTTATTACTAATCTGTGTCCACTGTCAAATAACACTGTACCAGTTGATGGGTAGTACAGGTACCTTATAACAGAGTATTTCCAATTCCTGCCTCTCATTCTTTATAATATGGCTATTATTCTATAAGCTATAATCACAGAATATAGGTCTGCTATTATTATTTTGAGCAGTTATCTATTAGATCAACTAAGAATAAGGAAATAAAAGGTTTAAATTTACCTTCATTTATTCCTTCTTTACTGCTCCTCCCTTGTTAATGTAGATTTTAGCTTCTGACCTATATCATTTCCTTCTCTCTGTAAAACCTCTTTTAACATTTCTTCCAAGGCAGATCTACTGACAGCAAGTCCTCTATTTTTGTTTGCTGGAGAAAGTCTGTATTAGTATGCCCAAGTTGCCATAACAAAATATTGTAGACTGGGTGGCTTCAAAAACAGGAATTCTTTTCTCACAGTTCTGGGGACAAGCAGCCCAAGATCAAGGCACCAGCAGGGTTGGCATCTGGTGAGGGTTCTCTCCTTAGATTGCAGATGTTTGCCTTTTTGCTGTGTCCTTACCTTATCTTTCTTGGGTGTATGTGGGTGGAGAGAGAGAAAGAGAGGAAGAAAGCACTCTGGTGTCTCTTCTTAAAAGGGTACTAATTCCTACATGAGGGCCCTACCTTCATGACCTCATCTAAATCTAATTGCATCCCAAAGGCCCCATCTCCAAATACCATCACATTGGAGATTAGGGCTTCAATGTGCAAATTTGGGGAGAACACAATTCTTCCATAGCAAAGTCTTTTTGTCTCCTTCACTTTGGAGGATAATTTCACTGGATTCAGAATTCTAGGTTGTCAGGTCTTTCTTTCAACACTTTAAATATTTCATTCTATTCTCTTCTTACTTGCAAGGTATCTGATAAAAAATCTGATTAAATTCTTATTTTTATTTCTTTATAGTTTCTAAGTAGTTGTTTTCTGTTTTGTTTTCCTTGGCTTTTTCACTCTCTGGCTGCTTTCAAGATTTTCCTGTTTACTTTGGTTTTTTATAGATTGAACTTGATATGACCATGTGTAGATTTTTTTGAAATTATTCTGCTTCAATTCTCTGTGTTTCTTGGATTTGTGATTTGGTATCTGTCATTAATTTTGAAAAAATCTCAGTCATTATTACTGTAAATATTTCTTCTGATCCTTTCTTTCTTTCTTCTCTTTTGTTTTCAGATTATTCATATATTATACCTTTTATAATTGTCCCACACTTCTTAGATATTTTCTTTTTTTCTCTTTGCATTTCAATTTGGGAAGTTTCCATTGACATATCATCAAGTCCGCTGATTCTCTCTTCAGACATGTCCATTCTATTGGTGAGCCCATCAAAGGCATTCTTCATTTCTCTTACTTTTTTTTTTAATTTTTAGCATTTCCTTTTGATTCTTTCCTAGAGTTTCAATCTGCCTGTTTATATTGCCCATCTGTTCTTGTATGTTACCCACATTTTCCATTAGATCTCTTAGGATATTATACATTGTTATTTTAAATTACTGGTGTAGTCATTCCAAAATCTATGTCATATTGAATCTGGTTCTGTTGCTTATATATATATATATATATATATATATATATATATATATATTTGCCTTTTAGCATGCCTTTTTATTTTCTGTTGAAGGCCAGACATGATGTATTAGGTAATAAGAACTAAGGTAAATAGGCCTTGAGTATGAAAGTTTATGAAGATCTGCCTAGGATGTACATTGTGTTTACTGTTTTCTGTAGTTATAGCTGTTTGAGTCTTCGGTTTCTTCTGGTGTTCTCTTTTTTTTTGTTTCCCCTGTTGTCTTTTGTTTTCACTAGAAATTTCTTCTTAAGTATAATCTCAGCCTTGCAATTGTTTCAACTCTTGTCTTCTGTTATTTTACAGGAGACTTGTTGGTATTGGGATGAGAGGTGTTGAAAGGGAAATGTTCTATTATCCTGTAATTAGGTCTCAACTTTTTAGTGGGCCTGTGTGTCTGAGCTGTGGTCTCCATAAGTACTTCTCAGTCTCCATTTGCAACTTAGTTTATATATGAAAGCTAGAGGGGGCTGGACTTAGATATTTCTTCTCCCCAACATTAGTTAGGCCTTGGTAAAATAGTTTCCCTTGAGGGCAGTTGGAGAACAGAAAGTTTCATGTATATTTCAAAACGGTTACCTTTCCCCACTCCCTGCGGCAAGCATGAGGGGATTTTTCTCCAGTCTTCCTCATGAGAACCAGGTGAGGCTCCTAGAGGTAAAATTCATGAAAGTGCAGGGCTCCCGGATGACTGGGCCCCTCTCCCATTGGAGTTTTTAACTCCCAAACTAGTCCACACTCAACATCCAGCAATTTGTCAATTGCAATTTAAGTGTTCCTACAAGTACTGGATACAGGGGTGGGTTTCTACTCCCAGTGGGCTGTGATTCTTTGTATTAGCCTTTCTCTCTAGTTTTCAGGGTAGGAGTTTGCTCCGTGACTGCAATTCTCTGATGGATCTGAGAAGAGTTGTTGATTTTCAGTGTGTTTAACTGTTTTCATATTATGAGGATAGGAGTGAGAACTTTCAACCTCTTTATATGTCAAAGCAGAAACTAGAATGTTATAATATTTGGATTTAATATGTTATAAAAATTGAACACTGTCCTATTTTGTCAATAAAACTGTAATTTCATCTGAATTCCTTGCAATCAAGAGTGTTCCTATAGAACACACCTATTCTACTTTGAAGAAAAAACACAAACTTTTAAAAAATCAATTAATTTATCAGACCCGTCCTATGCACCATCTCAGTTCCTCTGGGCCAGCTTTGTCTCTTAGTTCAGCAGCCATCATAGCAGATGATTCTTCATGTTCCATGCCCAACATAACACATGTGAAACCTGATAGCCCCTCACCTCATGCCCCTGGCCCTCCCTGCTGAACTCACTGCAGTAAGTCTCAGCATCCACTCATACATGCACAACACAGAAGTTCAGAGGAGTTATCCCCATGAGGAAAAGCTTTGAACAATGGGAGAAATAGAAAGGTGAATATGTTCTTCCCTTTGCAAGATTGTCCTGATACGGAATATATTTGGCTTCTTGAAGCATAGTACCTCCAGATCAAGCCATCAGATAAACTCATCTATGGCCAGATCAATAACGTATTCATGTAATGCCCTCCCTTCTATATTTTATTCCTCTTGTCCTTCACTGATATCTACTTAGTAAGTTAAAAACACAAAACACTCTGCCCAATGATCTTTTACAGAGGAGTCAAGACAAGTAGAAGGAAAACAAAAAAGAGTTCTGGAATGTTTTTATTCCTGAATGAAATCTAGTGATATTTCCTCTTTATGTGATGTTTGCATATCTAAATGTAAGATGATAACTATACCCCCTGAAATTAGATTTCTACAATTAGCACCTTAATTTGCCTTGCTTTGAAATGTGAATCTGGGAATTATCACCTTCCAGATGCAGAATTTCTGGATTATATTAAAGAACAAAGATTCAAATGTATGGGAAAATGTTAATGTGAGACAATTATGTGGGAAAAAAAATTTTTGTTGTAGATTTTTTCTTTAAAAATTTTGTTCCTAATACTTTATTTTGGGAAAATGCAATTCACTAATATAAAGTGTGGATTTAATAATGCTTTAATGATGAAAATAAATAACAACTGCAAATATGTATGAAAAAATGTTGAAACCAATTCAAAAGAATATTTTACATGCAATGAAAACTATTATGACTATTTTATAAGCTTAAATTCTCTAATTATAGTTTTATTTCTTTAATATTTTCACTCTCTTCATCTCCACATGTATTAGGTAGTAATCAAAATTAAAATTATAGATATGGATAAGGTGTATGTTTTTATTAAAATCCTTAGGTTGTTAGAATTACTGTCTATTCATCTTTCTCTCTACCTGTATATCTTTTCTATGTTTTTATCTCCTTGTCATTGCTAATAATAACTAACAAAATATTTAAAAATATTTTGAGGAACCATCCAAATTTTTATACATTAAAACGCGTTTAAGAAATTATATACTAGAAGTGATCCCAAAGGTTGTAGGTAGAATTGAAGTATTTTCTTTCTATTATTATTGCCATTATAATTAATGTATTCTTATATTAATGATTTATGTTCATATGGACTATGTTTTATATATAATAAATGTAAAGCTTCCACCACACCAAGTTTTTTTCATTTCCTTAGCAATATTTTAATTAAAAGTAGATTTTGCAGTTTTACTATAGAGTTAACACATGATTTTCTTCTCAAAGTTATGTATAGCATGAGTCAATTCATTAGCAAGTCATTGTTAAGAATTTAACATTTACCCATTGTAATTTATTTCTGCCTTAAGTCCAATTTTAAATTCTACTGCTTATTTTACTCATAAACAAAGGTCAAATTCTAAACTGAATTTAAGATTGTATCCCCTCAAGTCCCATATCTTATCTGAAAGCACTCTTCTAGCCCTGTAGATCCTCATGTTATTTCAAAGCGTGTCAAGTTCCTCCATGATTGATAGCTAAAGCAAAAGGAAGGAAAGTGGATAATGGCAATACATTTAGAATGCTAAAAGGTTTGCACAGAATTTTAGTGTTCCAAAGACACTTCATTG